AAATAAGAAATTGATAAATATTTTAAGTATCTCCAAATCTTATTAATTTTTTAATTACAACAAAATATTATAAATCGATTGAAAAGAATAAAAATAAAATAATAATAATAATAAGAAGAAGAAGAAGAAGAAGAAGAAGAAGAATCTACATAAGTGGTTATCCAATGTTTAACTTCAAAATTCATGTGACTTCCCAGTAAATGTTTTTGTTTTAATCTTATATTAAATATTAAAACTTTGATCAAGTACATATTTTTTTATTGAAATTAAAAAAAAACTCAACAAAATGTCAAATAATTACTATAAAGGCTTTTTAAAATAGATTTAAAATTTAAACATGTGAAAAAATTATAATTTAAATATAATAAGGTGAAAATTTCAAGTATCTATGGTTATTCGTTTTTAAGTTGTACCAAAAAACAATATCAATTTTGTCAATTACTAAAAACTAACAAATATAATAACAAATACAATTAAAAATACAAATACAATTACGTTACGTAAAACTTTTCATCCTTCCTTAATTTTGGTTTTTGTTAAATCCGATCATTAAAGTACATAAATGTTTTACTTTTGTCCCTTAAAATACTAACTAGATCTAATTTGCTACCAAAAACTAGCTTCAAAGTTAAAAATAGAATCATATGTACTGCTTCAAAAAGTGACGACAAATATAAAAAAAAAAATACACACACATCGTATTAGAATAATTACATTAGCTTCTCCACTTAGAATCTAAAATGTGAATTAATAGTTAAAAACTTGTTATAATATTTATTAATTATTTATCAAGCTAAATGTTATTGTATTAATTATAAAAATTAAAAATAATATTTTTTTTGAACTTAATTGTTCATAAATTCCATGGTTTTATTACATAAATGAGAGAAAGTTTTTAGCTTTCTAAGCTCTATACATTTTGTTAAATTGTTAAAAAGATCAAAAGGATCTTGTAGTGCAAGACCTTCACCTTGAAAATTATTGTTTAATGTTGCACACCAGTCAGTAAGGTTGCCTTTTTTTTTTTTTTTTAAACCTATAATATCGGGTCTTAAGATTGCAATTTTATAAAAATTGTCCTTAGATATAATCTTTCCAATAGCTGGACAAAAAACAAATTTCTTAAGATATTCAAAGTTTGAATAAAATTTAAAAAATCCAAATAATAAGTCCCAACAAGAAATCATTGGTACTTTCCAAAATTGTTTGGCTTTTTCTAGAGTGCAGAAGGTACAATCCCAATCTAAAATAAAAATAAAACAAATCAATTAATTTGTGATATAATATTATAGGTATTTGTAAAATGTATACTGTATACACCTACAGTTATTAAAATAGGCACATTTAATTAAACTTAGTTGCAATTTTAATACAAGTATACGTATACATAAATATGGATAAAAAAATCAATGTACCTTCTATAAACATGAAATCTGATCCAAATGTACTTTTTGAAGAATCTGCATGTTCTCTGAGTAATATTAATGGAGGTACAACTTCAACAGCCATCAAATAAAATATAACTAACCATGTTAAAGCGAAGGTAGTAAACATACTATGACTTTTCACATCATTTTGTAACGCCCAACGTTTAACAATTGCACAAACTACCCAATGAACACGTTCATTCAATGATAAATACAATCTGAATTTTCAAAACAAACTAAGAATATTAATTTATTAATTTACTCAATAATGGTAATGTATATAATTTACCTGACTAATTTATTGTTATGTGTGCTGATGCCACTTTTAAAAGATAAATCACAATTTAGGCCAGTAGGGACATGTACAAATTTCACTATTGGAACTTGTGCTCTAGTTATTTGTTGTATATTTCTATATTCATTTTTTTTACTACGAAGCATTTTTCCAAAGTACCGTACTAGTTTAATTTGACCATTATGATCATAACTTAATGTTCCACCAAAAGTTCCAGCTATAGAATTTAATCAAAAATTAAATATTGAACTATTCTTGTTTAAATTTTTACAGCAAACTAAATAAAAAAATACACAGGGTTTGATTAATTTATCAGATTATTATAAATCGTGTTTAAAACTCCAAAAATAGGATCCCAATACAAATTGATTAATCACGCCAACAATGTTGATGTAGGTACAAAGTTCACACACTCAAATCATCTATTTTATAGGATTCGATTAAATAAGAAGATAAGAAGAAATTTGGGATATAAAAAAAAGATATATCCGAGTTCTTGGTTTCAATTTAATTACCTTATTTGATATTTGGATTAATTAAAATACACTTTAGGTATATTTGCTGTGATACCACGGTGAAAAAACAAGTACCTAAAGTGAAAATGAAAAAATCTCCTGAAACCACTAAAGCTATGAGTATGAAATTTGATTAGTAAGTTCAATTCATGATGCAAAAACTCCTAAGAAAAGATTTTTCAAATTCATATAAATACAAGGGTTAAAAGGGGTACATAATATAAATAATCTTTCCTTAAAGAACAAGCTTTTTTTATTGCCATTTTGTGACGACGCTATTTAACTTTTTTCCATTTTTTTTTTTTTTTTACCATCAGAAAGCTATACACTATCCCACATATCTACAGGCTATAGACTTTTTATTGATAAGTGATCCTTCATTTTGTTGTCCTATATTTTAAATAATTTTGTTAAAAATCTTTTATAAAGATTAAAATAGAGTAAATCCACGGAAATTTGTCATGGGAAGTTTTGATCATGACTATCCAGGTATAAACACAAATTATACAATAATTTTGAATCATATAGAGTCGATATTTTTAATGGGCAACGAAGTGCACGAGGATCATCTAGTATATATAATGTTATATATATATATATATATATAAAATATTAATGTTACCGATAGAAAAGTATAAATCCACATCACTATTTTGAAGTGCTAGACCTGACATACGTGATCCAAAAAGATATGTTTTACTTCCTTTGAAATGAAAATCAGTACACCCATATATTGAGTTTATTAACAAAAGTAATCTATCCACCATATCAATATTGTACATATCTTGCTTTATAATTTCCACGAATTGTGTGTCGTTACATTTTAGCAGCACTTCCTTATTTCCAAACTCGTGTTTTGTTGTTAAGTGTAACCCGGGTAATTTGTCAACTATAATATTAATTAAAAATACATTAAGATATTTCACATAAATAGCTACATATGAATATATTCGTAAAGAAGTTATTTACGCTCCTTCAAAAATGAATCGATAATAAATTGAACATATTAGGTTATATATATATATACACACATATGAAAAAATTCTAAATAGAAGTATGTATGGTAAATAACCCAAATAAACTAAATTAAATTAGTTAAAATGTTTTTCATGCACAATTTCTAATGAAAAAGTTAAGTTTTTTATTTTTGTTTGACGAAAAACTGTATACTTGAAGTTTTATTGTTTTCCTAAATATTTTTGAAACTACTATAAATTAAAAGTAACCTATTTTATTCTTATAAAACATTGATTTTTACAATAGAAAGTTACCTTTATTTAATATAGTTGTACTAACAATAATTTTACGTTTACTTTGCAACATTCCATTGGCATTTAACATTTTGTTTATGGCAGCTTTATAAATATAACAAAAAATAAATTTTTGACTTTAAATAAATTGAATTTTTTAGAAATATTCTCATTCTTTGTTGCAACAACATTCAAATCACAGTATATTCTGTTGTCAAGGTATTGTACCTTTTTATATTTTTAGGAATACGGAGTACAATCATTCATAATTGATAACATTCGTACAGATTTATTTTAGAATACTATAATAGTAATCTAATATTAACAAATAATTTTTGTTTGTTTTTAATGTAAATACTTTTATATATTAATTAAAATAATATGTTTGACATAAATCCATAATTATCCATTATTTTATTTTATTTGGCCAATGGTTATAAATTATGAAAAATTGTAATAATGATTCTAAAAATTTGATTTGAACATTAAAAAATTCTAAGATGATGACACAGCATATCTGCATTAAAAATGAATTTTACTATAACTCTGCTGTTTTTGTAATGATTGTAAATATTAAAATTGTTTGTTAAATAATAAATAATAATAATGGGTTAAAATAATTTCATATTATATGTAAAACATATTGAATATCATGTGAATCTGATAAATAGTATTCAATTAATAAATAATTGAAAAGTAAATTATAATAATTGAACGCTATTTCAGAGATTTTAATTATAATGGTATTAGACTATTA